GGGGGGGGGGGGGGGTTGGTTTTTGGCTTATGGTTAAACAAGCCAAAAAGTAGTTATGACATCACAACATTTGATCAGCTCATTTTCAGACAGGTTTTTATATAAATGTATCAAAAAGAAGCGAGCGAATCTTTTTTCCTGAAACTTTCAGAATCTGTTTACACAGAAGGGACACATGTTTATGTATAACAGACATGCAAAAGTGGATTTTCACAATAGGTGACCTTTAAGAGGCAAGGAAACTGAAATCAAATCAAATCAAATAAGCTCACATGAAAGGTAAATAAAGGTGGCAGCTTAATTGTTACTTATCTATGTTAACTAGCAGCATTTTTAAGTAAGTAAACATATAAATATAGGGTAGTATGGTCCAAGTTATAACAATTTACACTAAATCTAAGTTTAGAGACTTAGACTGCAGGGTCCAGTGAGTTATCTTCCCCTAATAAGCTTAAACTCAATGAGTCTGCCAGCCTGGCTGATTCATTTCTTGCCCTCTGAAATTACCAGACCAAATGTATAATGAAAGGAGAGGGAAGTCTTTTGGTACTCAATCACTGGACTCACGACTCTCAATAACATGTTTTATTCAGACTGTGTGTCCAGAGACCTGCGACCACACAAAAAAGAGAGAAGATTGCCGCAGTTTGACAGTGGCAGAGATTTACTGCTCTGTTTCTAGTTTCACACCATATATGTTTAGTTTTTTGATTCACCAATTCATCATATTGTCAACAAAATGTTAGGCAGTAGTGGGGCCAATCACAAGTTCCCAGACACATTGGGTATTTCTTCATATTGCTTGTTTTGTCAAATAAACAGTCCAATGACACTTAATGTGCAGTGAATTGCAAAGTAGGGGGAAAAAATCTCTGCAACCCCTTTCACATAATATGTCATTGTAACCACTTTTAAGAGTTCTAATCATTATTCACTTTTGAGAATGATGATTAGAGCATCTTTAAACACTCACAAATTTCGTTCCAGAAATGAAATGTAGTTTACTTAGATTCACTTCAGAGATGATGTTCTACTGAACATTATTTTCCACCAGCAAGCAGAACGCCCACACCTTATATTACTGAGAGCTAGGCTGCTGATTTACATTCATGTCACTCCACAAAGCAACAGAGATGTTCAACAATCATCCATTTTTTAAAACCTTCCACACATCTTGTTTGCCCAAGTGGGATGGATCAAAACAGAACAGGAACATTTAGTATATTTTCTCATACATAAGTACATCGTACATGTGTTCTCCATCATCCTGGTGATTCATATATGGAATAAATAGCTAGATCCAATATTTTTCATCTTTTCCATTAAAGTATTTCAGAAATAGATATGATACTAGTCAAGAAGCAACAATCCAGATCATCCAAAGACCAAAAATATAGGTTCCAGCTTCCATGCAAATAATCGTTGGTTACAGCCTTTATGCAGTTGATCTGAAGGCCCTTATGTCTACATTAAAGTAAAGAACAATATAAAATCAGGATTTAAAAGAAGCAGCAAGTAAATACCAACTGACTTCTCCACACTGTCCTTTCACTGCAAGGCTGTATCATTTTCTCTTCTGATGGTTAGATACTTTGTGTGAAGAAGCATCCCACACACACATGCTGATATTGAATTCTTGGAATATAGGAGTAACTCAATAAAGCTGACGGCAGACACAAGAGAGCTTTTACTGTTGGCAGAGCTGTGGGAGACGGGGAATGAAGTAGTCTCCGGCCCTGATTGTGTGAATGCTATATAAGGCCATAAAAAGGAAATGTGGAACACACAGATCTTAACCACATTTGCCTTTATACTATATATGGAGACAATAAGCAGAGAAATCCAATGCCTGTTTCTATTTCAAGCGCTCTATAATGAAACATTGAGGGTTATATTGATCTAATTGAATTGCAGGTTTGGATCCCATTGACACTAACTTCGGATTGTGAGTCCAGCGGGAGTTGTATTTGCAGATGAGAACTGGCAATGGAGCGAGTCATCAAGATGATGCTAATCAGCCATTAATTAAATGACTCTGAGTTAATGAGTCTCATGTAAATAGGGGCACGGGTACGTGTATATACAATTAGAACCAACGTTAACTATAACTGTCTTACCAGTTCCAGTCACCTATCCCCACACCTGCTTGTTGTTCCCTAATCAACCTTTAGCTTAATACGCCCCCCTTAGTTACTGTTGCTATGCCTGTGGTAATGTCCATCATTGCACAACACATAATTTGCAATGTACAACGATAATGCTTGCAGATTTACCACTTTAAATTCTTGGTATTTTTTACACAAAGTAGGTCATTGATATAATTCAGATGGTTATACTAAACAGAATTATGATTTCTAGCTGGTGATTGTTGATTTTTAGGTAAATAAAGTAAAAGCTAGCTGCATGGCTAGATACCACTAAAGGTTTATGAAGCATTTTTTTGGTTGATTTTATTCAAGTAACACTTTAAGTAAAGGATATTACTTGTAAAAGCTATCAGTTACATTTAATACCACATAAAACCAGCACCTATACCTTTTTTGCCCACTTGGGGGCAATGCCACAGTATAGGCATAATCATAACATTAAAAGTGAATGGCTAACTTATTAGCTTACGGTTGTGTTTTGTAAAGAAGCAACATTAGCATTCATTTGGAGTAATGTGTTGGCCACTTGGCATTTGTAACTCCAATATTCATATTCATATAGAATATTTAGCTTTTTTCAAATGAATAGGAAATTCAACATAGGCCTATGGTGTTTTTAATAGCTGATATTCTTCTTAGTATGCTATAATAATATTTTGTCTGTGGTCTGTTGGTCAGGTTTTTTCTAAATGCCTGAATATCAGAAAACACACTTTCTGAATAGCTTGTAATGAGATGGTAAACTTCCATGCAGCAAGAGCATTTGTCTAGGAGGTTTATGAGCATTTCTTTCTCATTAAAACGAAGGTCAGGGGCCATTAGGAAATATTTTGCCCACCTCTATGCCATGATTTGCTGCTCATTAGCACCATTTTCTTTATCCACATCAAGGATGTGGACTAGGCGTTTGTAACTGAACTTCAAAGAGTAATGTTGCAGACATTTTTGGAGGTGCTTTCATCTCGCTGATCAAAAGTGAAGCCTGCCCATTTCCTCATATAATCTTTCTAACATGAATTTGGGGAATTTCAAATTTCCTCAGCTTTGCATCAGCCAGAGAAGCTACTCCGTTAAAAAAAATAGTCCATTGTTATCTACATTGACAGTTTTAACAGTAAAACTATGCACCTGCCTTTTTCCATATATCTGGTCGCATTGACATTGTATCACAACATAAAAGCACAGGGACACAGAAAGGGTTATAACAGGTGTCACACAAAATGAGTGGTAATAAGTGGTAATTGTAGCTGAGTAGCTCAGAGGTAATGACATATCAGCTGGCACTGGATTGGCACGTTTGCTCTTTACTAGTTCCAGTGATATCTACTCTCTGTGTGTGTAGTTCTTCTGCCTCACTGGCACACTGTTTTTCATTCACATGGGAGATACTGTGAAGAGTGTGTAAACAAATCAAAGTATGATCTTAGTGTTGCAATGAAACACATATCATAAACTGGCACATGGCTGCTGGACAATTTCTGGTACATAACACTGCAAAATAATTTATAAATATATATATATCTCCTTTTATTCTGTCTTCAGTTCTGAGCCAAACTGATTTTAAGCGCACATTTCCCATGAGAACACTTCAATCCCCTCTGCTCTGCACGCTTGATGTAGAAGTGGCACATCAGATGAGCTGTGTGACTGATCAGAGAGTGTAAAAAAACCCGGAGGAAGAGGCATGGAAAGAGTGATTGTGCTCCATGACTGCAGGGGATCACAGTTACGTCACGTTAACAGAAAAGGATTCCCGAATCGAATGTGCAGCGAAATTACATATTACATGACCTACAGTAATAGTCTGGCAGAGAGAGGGTGGAAAAAAAGCCCCTGGATAACCCTTTGCACTCTGATAACACTCACACAACCACACGCTCCTCATGTTCTACCTTCATCGGAGATAGAGGCTGACAGAATAAATAAGCACCGCTGAAGATAACAGTACGTATGTGTTCAACACCCACATGGCGTTCCTGTTACATGCGCAGTCTATGAATAGCTTCAGCTGGAGGGAAGTACAGGACGTGGTATGATCCCACCCGTGATGAACCTACAAATGCAATAACAATTCTGGATTTAAAACTTTAACAGTATGTCTTAAATAAATAACGAACTGCATTTCAAGCCGTGAATTATTATTGACTACAGTGTACAAGCACTCTATTTAAGATACATGCACTTACAGAGTATGCTATTCTTTTGCAAATCAAGTTATATTTACTCAGCTACAATAACTTCACACTACATTTTAGGTTCCTTTTTACATTAAGCGTTATATACAAACAGGGCAATGTTCATTTTAACAGTTGAGTTAAGTGCAATGAACATTAATATGACTTCTCATATATTTGCCAAAGTGACTTTTTTCAGCCACTTTGCCTGACAATTAATTCTAGTTTTGCTTCAGTACTTAGGTACTTACACTCACTGATTTCCTGGCCAACTAGCAGCCATGGAATACGGCCTACATGGAGGCATACAATTGGCGATCAACACATCCAGCAGACACAAAGCAACATTAACATTCACTAGGAGTCGCATTCACTCTCCTTTAGCTCTGTTTTGGGTCTCGCATGACGCCTGAGGGAAATATCCGGCTCTTTAGCTGCTGAATGCTCCACTTCAGTATGTTCACCAGACGTTGCCCACTTTGCTTGCCTGCTGTTTGGTTCTGAGCAGGTAGTGAATAGTGGTTTTTAAGAGGTTTTTTTATGCGGTTTGGGAACTCATTCAAAAGGTTGTTGGCCATGAAACCAAAACAAAAGGAAGAGAAATATAACGCTCCATAGAGCCAAGGAGAACTGCAAAGTCAGGTAATAATTATTTGTCTGTCCATCATTCACACATACAGACATGTCATCCATCGTCAAGAGACAGATATGGGTTATGCACCTTTAGCCTCTGTTATTTATCTGCTCGCTCATTATTACATTTGAGAGACTGCCAATCCATCCCAGAATTCCCTTAACAAAAACATGCTTGTTTGAAATCCTGGTCCTAATAAAGTGTTAAGAGCTCCCAATTGATATCATGGTAGCAGAAAGTCTGCACACCAGCGGACCCAGACTGAAAACCCACCTGTTCAACTGCCAATAAAAGCAAAAGCAAAAACATTATTCATGGTTCTGTACAGCAACTAGAAAGGTTTGGCTTATTTGAAGCATAAGCAGTAGCACTTAAAATGCATTAGCAAATTGAAAGCTTATCTACTTGCGTTATTTTTGCTTTTTCAAATTTGTACCATCATTGGTAAATGCACTTGTTGTAAGTTGCTTTGGATAAAGAGTCAGCTCCATGCAATGTAATGAAACCCTTCTCTGCAGTTGTATGGGGATTTATTTCATCATCTGCCACACCTAGCTGCACAGCTCCTCCCAATGGTCTCATCGACACCTATTTACCTGCTCCTTATTCTCAGATCTCTACCAGTTCGCCTGCTGTGCCACTTCTCAGCCCTTCATCCTTCTTGTATCTGCCTTCCTGTCTTGTTATATTTTCTCTTTGCCTGTCTTTTTGCACTTTCTGCCAGCATGCCTTGACCTTTTTGTCCTGACGTCCTGCTTGTTAGCGACCCCTGATTCTGATCGTCGACTCAATCAGAATCAAATTCTGCATTTACCCCACCTTTGCACACACTAAAGTGTACATTTAAACACTTTTGCCACCACTGGACTTTATAGTAATCCTGACCTTATCTGTGTCACTAAAAATAAATCGCAAATAAATCAAGTTGAGCCCTCAAGTGATTTTTTGTACAGTTTTGCCTCTCATCGAAACCCAGAGACCTGCGGTTTAGTGCTTTAGGGGATTCAGTGAGTCCAGATGCGTGCAACATCTGTACAAGTGTTTTTTTCCGCCTCAATTAAAACGATATGCTCCACGTTGACAACTGCAAGTCTGCCAAATTGAGCTTTTCTCGGAAACAAACAGACTGTGGCAATTAGGTCATCCTCACTGTGTTGTTTGACAGATTCTTCTCCAAAGGCAGAGGAAATATAGCTGGTGGTCCTGTATCTAAAATGAGATTTCTTTTTAAAGATAAGTGGCAAAAATAGAAATATTTATTAATAATCCTCTCTCATTATCTGCTGCAGAAAAGCTTAGGCAAAGCACCTCAAGATTGGAATGTGCAAAGTAAAATGAGTTGTAATTACAGAGTATCTTTTGAAGTGTTGTGACACTAACTTGTGTGTATGGTACATTAGGTTAAAGTGTAATGCAGTGGAGCCATATTAAGACGAGTTATGACACCGGCAGAGATCCTGTCAGCACTTTATTCCCACTGCTATACTTAGTATGAGGGCATTCTCATTAGTGATTCTTAATGATTAAATGAGCAAAGTTTAATGCCAGTTTTTTAATTAGGTGACTGTCAAGACTTCTTAATGTTTCTGAGAACAAAGTTTCTGTTGTGTGTTGACGATGGAATTACTATATTGCCCACTAATGTTAAAAGGTGAAAGAAATACTAATATCACAAGTAAAATCAAACAAGAATAACCCGTCAAATGTAATGAAAGTATCATAGGTAAAAGTACTCTTTATGCAGAATTAATAATTTCAAATTGTTGTGGATTATTATATTATTAATATTTAATTTCAAGCAAATACATATACCAGCAAAAGTGTTTTAATGTTGTATCAGATGTTTTTAAATGTGAAAAGTAACTAGTATTTAAAGCTATCAGATACATGTAGTGGAGTAAAAAGGAACATATTTTCCTCTGAAATTCACAGGGGTAGTATTAAGCAAAACCATTCCTCAAAGATTGCAGCCGTGAACAGTACGGTCTTGGGTTAACATAGGTTACATGTGTTAAATGTAGCATGTACATCAAAATACAACTTTTTTCCAATCAATTGTGCCAAAACAGATTTGTACTGCTAGCACATGCCCTCATACATAAGGTAGAAGGTGTTATGGTGCTTTAAACTTAATACATTAAGATATTACTTTTCCCCCTACATCCAGATCCTGAATGAAATGGTCACTGATCAGACGTGTCGTCAATGGGATTGTGTTTTATCTATAATTGTTGTCGGTTGCATAGCAACAGTGTTTATACAAGTATATTCGCTTGAAACATGTAGTGTTCTTGACTTCCCATGCTTAGAAAATGATCCTTCTGAAAGCATAATAAAATTCAATGCAAAATAAAAGGTGGTATGAGATGACTAATTGTGACATTGTCAGTGCGGCACCATACCAAACTAATTTCCCTGAGCTTCTTACATCAGGATGAATAAAACTCATCATCCTCATCATTTGCTGATTAGAGAAAAGG